GCCAAGTTTCATCAGTTTTGAAGCATTTTTTTTATAGTTTTATAGCAGTTTGAACTTGTAACAGGAGGCGTTTTTTTTAATGAAAACTGCCATTTTTCACAATATACTCATGGGGTAAAAGGTTAAATCCAGAATATTACTATATCCAAGAAATCCTTCCTGGCCATTCGAAGCTGTGTCTTACATAACTGTGGTGTGCTACCTATAAACTTGGATTAAATTGCCGAGTAGCATTGTATCCTCACACCTGGTGCTCACGGAAAATACCGAAGCGATACATGAGTTATCTCCCGTCACTAAGATTTTGCGCTAGAATTTTACAGCTAGGACACAGAAAGCAAATATTAATCACGTGGTTTCTAGTTTTTATTTGTTCTGCTGTTCTTCTTATTGAAATGAGTCAGTTTTATTTCGCTTAAGGTTGTTTAATGTTAATAATTTCATAAAGTAAGAATATGGATAAATCTCTATAACAACAATTCTTATAGCCTCTACATACAAATTTATTTTCAGTGTGAATCGAATGAGAATAAGAGTTTCACAAATACATTTGTAAGAAACAAGTTCGAGAAAACACACTTTCTTTTAAATAAGTAGAAATAACACATGTTTAAAACAAAAAGTAATTTATTAGTATCTAATATTAAATTAAACGAACTAAGATGAAGTACTGGCAATGGCTTTAGAATATTACAACTTACTATAAACATAGTAAGAAAGAATAAATAAATATTTAAGTAAAGAACTTTGATTTACTCACATATGAATCAAATTTGTAGGAATATGATTTAAACTTATGCAAATGAAAACAACAAGTAGTCAAGTGAATAAATACACTAATTTTGCTCCATAAGGGCCCGTTTCCCATGCCTTAATGAAAATACACAGCAAGAAGTATACTTACTTTCAGTATGGCCTTCTGATTTAAGAATAACAAAGACAAAAATGTACATTTTTTTTTCTTGAATGTAAAGGTAAGATAGTTTTATTCATTTATCCTACTGACACTCATATTAATTATAGTAATTATAGATAAACTCGCAATGATTAAAAAGGCGAAAAAATGATGATATCAATATTTACAACAATTAAAATATAAATTGGTCAATATTCATCATGTATCTAACTGTAAACTTAGAAAATAAATTTTTAAGTTGTTTTTGAAAGATTGTAAAGTCGAAGATTGTTTGATAGTAATAGGTTATTTATTCCAAACGTCAATACTGAAATAAGAAAAAGAATCCTTTAAATAATTTGTATGAGGTATACTTTTCAGAACAAGATCTTTATGAGCGATAGAGCGTAAATTATGTTATTCATTGTGAGAGAAACTAAAAACTGCACTCATATATAACGGTGCCAGATTTTTTAAAGATTTATACACCATAATTGCTGTGTGGTATTTCATATTTCACTCTGAAATTGAATTTCTGCCATTTAAGTTTATTAAAAAAGATCTAATGTTGGTGAACGTATCGGTCTATTAAGTATAATTTTTGCAGTTCCTTTTTGAATTGAGTTTACTTTATTGATGTATGAGTATGTGTCCTTTCCCTATACCATACAACAATAATCAAGCACAGGAAGGATGTACGCGTTGTAATATATCTTTTTTATTTCGTCGGTAAGGTCAAAAATGATATGTTTGAAGAGGTCATTTTTTGTAGTTCTTTGCAAACAGAGTCAATTTGATAATGCCAGTTTAATGTATTATCTACATAATTGCCCAATAACTTTTGAACTGTAACATTTTCAAGAGTTGTGTCATTTACTTTCAGTAGGAGAGGATTACATTTCTTCACCTTTTTTGAAGAACCAATTATCATGCATCTGTTTTTATTTGGTGCAAATACATTTTGATGCACAAAAAGTTAATACCTTGCGTGATTGTATTTCTTTGATATAGTATTTCTTAGTATTTCGGTATTTTAATTGTATATTTAAACTTTTGTCAACATACTCCATATGTATGTTATAATGTGTGCAAGTTTTTCTGACTTAGTTGCCATTTTAACTTTGTTATATACAAATTTCTAACTTAATTATAAATAAATAAATAAATAAATAAATAAAAAAAAGTAAATAAATAAATTAGCATAAATTTTGTCCTTTGTTATCTGATTATAAAACACCGATACATAGTTTGTTTCTATGTAAACTACTTAAAAATATGACTCAATGGGAAAGATACATGTGATCGCTTTAATATTCATGACCACTTAAGCTTATACTTGATAACACTTGACAGGTTATTCTTTTGCGACACTTGTCCTAATAATGAAACTTGTTTTAAATACACTTGTTAGGATAGGGAAGTCATGAAATTAAGCACAGTTTTTTTTTATTTTATAAGAAAAAAACATATTCATTAAATTGAGTGATATAAACAACATGTAAAACTGTTTTTTTAAGGAAGTTATTTGTTTCTAATCTAAACTTACAATGAAGCATAGAAGGTGTTTATTCTAGATATTTGCCAATTATACGAGTCATTGTTATGGTATCACAATATGTTGTCGGTATTGTTTAACATTAATTCACTTGCACCCATACCGCTGTAAGTTCGAATCCCACCGGAAACTTTGGAAAGTTTTCATGTTAGGAAGCTAACCGACTAGCTTACGAAACGCCGGAGGTTTTACTCAAATGTGCGCTCTAGTCTAAACTTAAGATCCAAGTTTCAACATTCAAATATTTTTTTTGGTAACGTAATGATGTCGTTTCTTACTACACAGACACATACATAAGATGATACAATAAAACTTGTCAACATGGCATAATTTTAAAGACAACTATTTTAACAGAAAATATGATATTGAAAGTCAAATAAAAGACAAAAAAGGAAGAGAGAAAACAAGGAGGTTCAACTAATGGCGAATTTGTATGTTATTTGGCTTACAAAATCACTGCCAAAATAAATCAGATGTTACAAAAAATATATCAAGGAAAATGTGCATATTACTTTAATTTAAAACGGTAGATACTGTAGTAAGTTTATTAAGACATCTTACAAAATATACCTTGACTTATTTAAAGGCTTCATATATATTTACATTATTCAATTGGCATAATGCTGTTGGTTATATTCATAACAATACCGTCTTGTTTCTATTCTAAGTGGGTGAGGAGACAATCTTAACTTTCAAAAGCAATTCTTAATTTCATTGTAATTTTATCAAGATACAGTGAGTAATCAAATGACGTCTTAAAAAGTCTATATGTGCCTCGGCTCGGGATTGTTGTAACATTATGATACCAGGACTGGATGAATTGGTCAGTAAGACTTTGCTTAAATAATAAATGTACATTTTAAGTAATAAATATACCATGCATATGATAAACCTGCATTATCTAATAATGATTTTACAATAGACAACCAGTTACGTTTGTCTCTATTAATATCATTTATCATTTATGTATATAAGTAACTAACTATAACATTTTTACTTTTGACAATATTTGACCATAATTTGATAATTCGTACACATATGTTTACATATAAATGGTACATTTTCAGCTCACAATAAAAAGAACTACTGCTAGTTGACTGCTTATCACATGACATTGACTTATAAAACTTTAGATGTTCTATATCTTTACTTTAACCAAATCCTATTTTTTTCCACAGGCATATTTTACAATACATACAACAAAAGCATCAAATAACTGCAAATAGTATAAACTTTAACAAGTCTTAGTGTTTTAAATTAAAGAATACAACTTTTAACGCATTTTGGGCTTTCCCTAAATAATCTTGATTCAAAGTAAAACTACCAGTATCGTTAAAAACAACTACTTAATAATTGAAATTGCCGATAATTTCTTAGTGAATATTATTACATTATCAATGATCATTAATTCTTATCGGACAACTTTTCCTCAAAACCATAACTTTACTTTTACTTTCATGTAGTTTTAATCCCCATAAAGTACAGTAACTATGCAATGTATTTTAACTATTTTGTAAGTCATCAAGTAATTTACTTAGAATGACAATATCAGCAAATAACAGAATAAATGTAATATCATCTAATGTTAAACCTGAATTAATATCATTTAATAAAGCAGGTAATTGCAGCTGATGTCTTCCCCATTAGCTGGCCATATGAAATAAATAAATACACAAGAGAGTCATCTGTAGATCAGACTTTAAAAGAAATACACTTACAGTTCAACTTGATATTTTGTTATATTATTGCAAAACAAATTGCATGCACCGTTGTACAAAACGTATGTCAAAACTTATTAAACTTCGCAAAATGAATAAGGTATTAAATGTTGAACTATGCACATCCATTAAATGGAACTACTATGCCTTCAAAAGTGTCGACATTAAGATATCAACATGTAGTCAAATGTTTTAAATGTTTTTTAAGAACTTGATATTTTGTTATATTATTGCAAAACAAATTGCATGCACCGTTGTACAAAACGTATGTCAAAACTTATTAAACTTAGCAAAATGAATCAGGTATTAAATGTTGAACAATGCACATCCATTAAATGGAACTACTATGCCTTCAAAAGTGTCGACATTAAGATATCAACATGTAGTCAAATGTTTTAAATGTTTTTAAGAAAGTATTTACAATAGTGTTAAACACATAAAATATCAGACATATATTCAGCACTATACAATAAGGAATAATTTTGTGTTTGATATAATTTCGCCCATTGTTTATAATTTAACTTCAAGTTGTTACTGTGTCCTCTGTCTGACTCTTTCAATGCAGTTCATTGTAGTTGATGATCATTTTAATTATATCATTTATCTTCGCGTGTGCTTACTGTTATACGTATATCAATGATATTAAGTGTCTAGACGGATTTCTCCATATTCATGCTCAGAGACTGTAAAAAATGAAAAGACAAAAAAAAATCAGAATCATGAAACCAACAAAAATGTAGACGAAAGGTTTATATAAACAGTTTATATATTGATACTAAATAACTTAGTTGTTTACAATACAATGATCTGAACAATAAAAATTCACAATTACCCTGAACTCTTCCAAGATCCTCATACTCACGTGACTTTAACACCGTGTTGCTGTTTGATGCTGAAAAATGAACCTTTTTATATACTGTTATTCTTGTAATACACCAATGGAACTTTACAGCTGTTGACTACATACCAGATTATAAAATGTGATTGAAATATACAAGTTACGCTTTGAATACAGGCTACTAATCTTTTACACAATAAGAAAAACAACTTACAATGACCGTACATTTATATTGCGTGTATAATTAAAAGATTTTCCGCTTGATTAAAGATATTTTGACGATGACAGAACAATCAGTTATACAAAACGGTAAGAATTTACATCTTCATTTTAATATTCAAAATAAAATAAGAGTCAACGCAACATATTAAATATTATCAAGTTAAACCCTGAATAATATGCAGGGTATGTTACGTTATTATAGGTACGAAAGATAGTGTTAGTTACTACATATATTATAAATGAATTGCACAGAAAGATCTGAAGAAATCAACTAAAAGCCTAGAAAAAAATAAAGAAATACTTTGGACATTTCCATCCTTGTTGGCACTGCCAGCATTTGCCGACTTTCCACATTTCAGTTCAATGCCTGAAAATATTCGAACAATCATGTCACTATTTTATTTTAATTATTCCGCCTGAAAATATTAAAATAATTATGTTACTATTTATCTAAATTATTTCTCCTGAAAATATTTGAAATATTTTCAATATTTATGTAACTTCTTATCTATATTATTACGTCTGAAAATATTTGAATAATTATGTTTCTATTTTATCTAAATTACTACGATTGAAAATCATATTACGATTCATTTAATTAAGAACTGACCGTGTTGAAAATTGGAGATATTAGGGGACCGGTGGTTTAGTGGTTAAGGTGTCTGGCTCTCTATCTAGGGATTAAGTGTTCGAGCCCTACTCGGGTAAAGACCCGTTTTTTAATATGACATCATTACTGGTTGGTTCCAGGAAGGGGACTCAAAAATGATTAATATTAGTGCAAGAACTTGTATCGCAATCATGCTTAAATAAATATGTTTAAAATGGATATGAAAAGCATAAAATTCTTGATGAAAAACATCTATCAGTTAGAAATAAGGCATGTATTTACCAGAGTTTTCATAAACATGTCCTTTCGTTATGTAAGTATCATTGACCCTGTAATGTAAATGAAATGTTCACCATATTTCTTTTAAATCATTTGACTTGTCATAAAAAATAGGCAGTACTCAAAAACTGTTGTTATAGAATCATACAAAGACAATATAATGACTGCAAGTAAAATTCTTAATACGCGGAAGTAAAAAGCTAATCTAAAATAAATATAAAGATGTGTTGCTTTTGTTGACATTATTTTTTGAAAGTACCGTAAATAGGATTATTATTCAAGGATTATCTCCCTCCTATAAATGCATTTCGAATTTGATAGAACTCTTATGTTAATTGAAAATCGTCGATTGTTTTAGTGAAATGTAACTTAGCAAAAAAGTTGATCAAGACATTCTGAGAATAAAAAGAAGGGGGGGGGGGGGGGGGGCAAAACAAAGAAAAATAATAGAGTTACATGTCCTTTTATTTATAACTGCATTCAAATTTAAAAATGTAACAAGTTTACCAGGTTTTAAGTGACAATTGTTTAAAAAGTGGCCTTAGAAAAAAAGTAAAAACAGCACAACTTTGCAAATATCAATTATAGGATTATCTGCTCTGTCACATGTATAACAAGTATGACGTTTTATAGTGAGGAAATAGACCTTTGCAAAAATGGTTATAACGGCTAAAAATCTTAGTTGAAAAATAGGCAAAACTTTGCAAAAAAAAAAATTAGAAATGATATTTGAAATGGCGTCCTTTCATAATAATAAGCATGTATAATTCCAAGTTTGAAGTAAAAAAGGTCTCTGACTTTTCATTCAGTTAAAAATGTAAACAATTTTTACCTTTTCCGATATTTCCAGAGAATCAGCATAACCAAAAATATGATGTTAACAACTACTGACACGGCAAGAATTGACCCAAGGGATATAGGAGCTATATTTACTGACTGCCCTGAGGAACTTGAGTCTAAAACATCATCGGGAAACAACACAATGATATGAGCGTAGAACTTAAAGCGTACTACATGGGTAATATAGAAGGTTGAACGTTTCGGTTGTCTAAAATAGCGTTTTTCGTGCGTGCGTTTTTCGTATATCATGCGTTCGTATATCATCCAACGTGCGTTTGATAAAACGCTTTCTCAAGCGTGCATCGTTTACAAGCGTTTTACGTTGACCGTGTATCGTCTTTCGTTTATCGTGCGTTTGAAAGCGTGCGTTTGTTATTTTCAGAAACATTTTGCGTGCGTCTGCGTTCGTCTAAACGTTTAAGTACCGTGTGTTGCGTCTGTTACTATTGAGAAGTTAAAGAATATCTTCGAGTGATATATTTTGTAAATTTCGTGTTTCTCAAACATGTAAATGATGTTCAGTGTCTCTTTTGAAGAATAGAAATATTATATTAAGAAATATTATTGTGATATTAACATTAAAGATTTTGACCTAATGGTCTACGTGCTTTACGCCGAAGATTAGTTTTAATCATATTTTGTATACCTTAGGATTCAATTAATATTTAATTGCAACATTTTATATATTCAATTGAGCAAACAGGTGTTCATATGCGTACAAATATATGCGATATCAGGTACTTCAGACATGATGTGATGGTAATTTGACTAGCCCCCCCCCCCTTTTACCAGTTCATCCCCTGACATTCTTCAAAGACTGTTCGAATCTTATTTTGGGTGATAATTTAATTTAGACAGTTCCTTACCATTTTTTCTAATTAACAGATTTATATCGAACAGCTTGGCAGGGAATCGAACCCTGACACTCGGAATCAATTCTGCGGCTCTTCCCTCTGAGCTATTCAACCGCTTACACATTTTATGTGCTTAAATACTCTATAGCTCTAAATGCAAATAATTCTTTGAATGTCCCAGGGTAACAGAGTAATGTGAATTAAACTCTAGCTGGGTTATATGTCAGTCACAGGGTGAGAAATATCTGCATCCAGACAGAGACTCGAACCCGTGACCCTTCGAACACCGTACCGCGGCTCTACCGACTGAGTTTAACATATAGGAATCGAAATAACATTAGTACTTGGATGGAATTCTAAATCTAGTAGGAATGTATCGTATCACAGTCAATTTTTTTCTCAAATAGGCTTTATCTTATAATAATGGAGTTGTGTCTAAGCATTTAATGCATATCTCTTAATATAAAGAAACCAACATTGTCCCTCTTTCAACCATTCACAAGACCTAAAATACTCTATTATTACAACTGACTTTAATTTACAGACTGTATATATATATTTTACTGATTTATCATTCCTCTATTTCAGTGATACCAGGACATGTGTACCTATAAGCATAGCTTTAATTTTCTATATTTCATTTTTTCCAAAACTTATTTTATTAACAATCTAAATATAAATAAAGTTTCCTTTTAAAAGGAAAGGCTTGCCCAGTTGTGCCTTTAAACAAAAAAGTCATATGTTTTTTTAAAAAAACCTCCTAAATCATCTTTTTTTTGATAAAGAAATAATTATAAAAAATAATAATAAATTGACCTTATATGCCTGTAAAAAATAAGGTACCTATGTTTCTACAGGTATAGAGGGTTAATTTATTATCACTATTTTTTTAATTATTTGTATATCATAAAGAGTTTTGTTAAGGATTATTTTTTTGAAAAAAAAAAATGTTTCACTTTTAAAGGGGTAGGTAGGGTAACCCCAAGACTGTACGAGCACCTGTGCCCATTTGTGCCACCAGTGTTATGCATGCAAATTTGGACAAAAGAAGGACCAGAAGACCACTGATTATAACTCAACCGGAACATGCTGACGATAACAGTAACAACTTTTTTGTCAAAAACGATTTGAAATTTATTCTCTATTGTATAAAACTAATACAGAAAATAATCAATCGTAATAATACTAACATTGGCTCTCCCACGTGGATGAAATAAAAGTATCTATCTATCATACTGAAGGGAAACAAGTGCGCATTTATCATTTGTCCTTTTTTTTCATTCGTTATGGCAGTTGCTAATTTCATTTTAAAAGCAGCTTTAAAGACAAGCAAATGCACTAAAAGACTTCGTTACGAGGTCCCAATTAATATGCATGTATCAACTATGTTACACCTAAAATATCTATGTCACTTGTCTATACCGACAACACAGGATGCGCTATCTGTTGATCAGCACCTGGTAAGGTTAATGATATGCATGGGCTATTTTTAGAAACGTTATACTGTAGTTTTAACTCCACGTTAGAAAAAGACACAGTAGATCTAAATATAACTCGATCGCAGACCTATTTGTTAACTTGTTCGCACTAATTCTCTGTGTGATTCGGTCATGATCTTTTGGTAAGTAGGACCGTCCTTTGGAGACGGAATACTACTACAGTAGCCATTCTCTATTGTATAAAACTAATAAAGACAAAAATCAATCATAAAAGAAACTAATTTTTGCGTCTTCAAAACGAATGGAAACGGAACATTTTCGTTTAAAATTTATTTCTTCTGTCTACCGATAAATCAAGTAAAAAGAGAAATCCTATTTATAGAAACAAACTGGGATTACTGAAGTAATTAAACATAGCTTAGATTTCCGTAATATTACTTCGTCTGATTCCGCAGTATGACGGAATCGCCCAAATTGTCACGATTGCAGCGGAAACCTAGACTTGTTTCCCGTTCCACAATGCACTAACAAATGTAAGCAGGAAACCACCTAACCGGAACAAATTTTCCAAAACAAATGGCCACAGCCTCAAGCCAAATAAAAAACAACAAAAAAACACAATGATTGGAGGAATCCTGCAGCAGGATACCTTTAGGTATGGACTAACTGAAGTATATGCAGCCAGTCACAAAAAATATTCCTTGTTCTATACTATTCATTAATAAAACAAGAGGGCCATGATGGCCCTTTATCGCTCCCCTGACCCATCAACCGCATCCAAGCAATGTCTTAGACAAGCATCCTGGCCAAGTTTGATGACAATTGAGTCAAAAATTTGACCTCTAGTGTGTTAAAAAGGTTTTCCATATTTGGGCAATGCGACCTAATTTTTGAAAGGAGACGACCATATCCGAACTTGACCTAGAAATCATTAAGACAACCTTTCCGGCAAATTTTAAGAATATTTGGATCAAAACAGGAGCCACTTGAGAGTTAACAAGCTTTTTCTATTTTTGGCCCCTGGGTCCTAGTTTTTGACCGGAGATGACCCATCTTTGAACTTGATCTAGAAATCATCAAAACAACCTTCCTGAAAAATTTCCAAAATATCTCTATCAAAACTGCAGCTTCTAGAGTGTTAACAAGCTTTTTCTAGTTTTAGCTCCCGTGACTTAGTTTTAGACCGGAGATAGCCCATCTTCGAACTTGACCTAGAAATTATCAAAAAAAAGTTTTCTGACAAGTTTCCAGGATATTTGGATCAAAACTGCAGCCACTAGAGTGTAAACAAATTCTTTAATTTTTAGCTCCCGTGACCTAATTTTTGACCGGAGATGACCCATCTTCTAACTTGACCTAGAAATCATCAAAACAAACTTCCTGACAAATTTCCAGAATATTTATTTGGATCAAAACTGCAGCCAGTAGAGTGTTAACAAGCCTTTTCTATTTTTAGTTTCTGTGACCTAGTTTTTGACCGCCGATGACCCATCTTCGAACTTGACCTAGAATTCATTAAATCAACCTTCCTGACAAATTTTCAGAATATTTGGATCAAAACTGCAGCCACTAGAGTGTTAATAAGCTTTTTCTATTTTTAGCTCCTGTGACGTAGTTTTTGACCGCAGATGACCCATCTTCGAACTTGACCCAGAAATCATTAAAATAACCTTCCGAACCAATTTCTAGAATATTTGGATAAAAACTGCAACCACTAAAGTGTTAACAAGCTTTTTCTATTTTTAGCTCCTGTGACCTAGTTTTTGACCGCAGATGACCCATCTTCGAAATTGACCTAGAAATTATCAAAACAACCTTCCTGACAATTTCCAGAATATTTGGATCAAAACTGCAGCCACTAGAGTGTTAACAAGCTTTTTCTATTTTTAGCTCCTGTGACCTAGTTTTTGACCGGAGATAACCCATCTTCGAATTTCACCTAGAAATTATGTAGACAACCTTCTTGACAAATTTCCAGAATATTTGGATCAAACCTGCAGCCAGTATAGTGTTAACAATCTTTCTCTATTTTTAGCTCCCGTGACTTAGTTTTTGACTGGAGATGACCCATCCTCAAACTTGACCTAGAAATCATTAAAACAACCTTCCAGACAAATTTCCAGAATATTTGGATCAAAACTGCAGCCAGTAGAGTGTTAATAAGCTTTTTTATTTTTAGCTCCTGTGACCTAGTTTTTGACCGCAGATGACTCATCTTCAAATTTGACCCAGAAATCATTAAAACAACTTTCCTGACTAATTTTCAGAATATTTGGATCAAAACTGCAGCCACTAGAGTGATAACAACCTTTTTCTATTTTTAGCTTCTGTGACCTAGTTTTTGACCGCATATAACCCATCTTCGAACTTGACCTAGAAATCATCAAAGCAACCTTCCTAACAAATTTCAAGAATATTTGGATCAAACATGCAGCCAGTAGAGTGTTTACAAGCTTTTTTCATTTTTTTTAGCTCCTGTGACCTTGTTTTTAACCGCCGATGACCCATCTTCAAACTTGACTTAGAAATCATTGAAACAACCTTCCTGGCAAATTTCTAGAATATTTGGATCAAAACTGCAGCCACTAGAGTGTTTACAAGCTTTTTCTATTTTTAGCTCCTGTGACCTAGTTTTTGATCGCAGACGACCCATCTTCGAACTTGACTTAGAAATCATTGAAACAACCTTCCGGACAAATTCCAGAATATTTGGATCAAAACTGCAGCCACTAGAGTGTTAACAAGCTTTTTTCTATTTTTAGCTTCTGTGACCTAGTTTTTGACCGGAGATAACCTTTCTTCGAACTTGACCTAGAAATCATCAAAACAATCTTCCTAACAAATTTCCAGAATATTTGGATCAAACCTGCAGCCAGTATAGTGTTAACAAGCTTTTTCTATTTTTAGCTCATGTGACCCTGTCTTTAACCGCAAATGACCCATCTTCGAATTTTACCTAGAACTCATTAAAACAACTTTCCGGACAAATTTCTAGAATATCTGAATCAAAACTGCAGTCACTAGAGTGTTAACAGGCTTTTTCTATTTTTAGCTCCTGTGACCTAGTTTTTGACCGGAGATGACCCATCTTCGAACTTGATTTAGAAATCATCAAGACAACCTTTCTGACAAATTTCCAGAATATTTGGATCAAAACTGCAGCCACTAGAGTGTTAACAAGCTTTTTCTATTTTTAGCTCTTGTGACCTAGTTTTTGACCGGAGATGACCCATCTTCGAACTCGATCTGTATTTCATTGAGACAAACATTCTGACAAAGTTTGACAATGATTCAATCAAAACTGTGACAGCTAGACTGTTATCAACCCAATTGTTGACGACGAACGACGCACAACGCACGACGCACGACAACGGACGCCGGACATTGCCCCATCACTATACTTCACCTTGACCACTTCGTGGTCAGGTGAGCTAAAAATATTAATAAGAAAGTTTCAATATAGCCTAAAAAGCACACTGCAAAATATCTAATTGTTTATAAACAGCTAGAATAGTCTGTCTAGGGTAGACAGAAAAAAACAAACAATTTGGTAAACACAATTTGCTTCCTTTTAAACTAGAGAAAAACTTGACCCAAAAAGAATGCGCAAACAGCAAAATTATAAAATGTTTCAGGTTCAGCTTGAAAAAGTCATGGAAGGTAGTTTTAATAATTCTGGGTCAAAAATCTATCAAAAGTTTTATATTTTGTTATAAATTCAGGGTTGTTTCTGATATAACTTACTTTTAATGATTGGCCATTATCAATGAATGCTTTAATTTCTGCATATGTTTTTTATGCCCATGGAATTAATTGTTATAGAATTATATATGATATTACTTATTATAAAACAATGTGGAATTGGCCTTGGAGTTTCATACCATCACTTTTTCCATATGGGACTGTGATGGATGGTATAAAACTCCAAGTCCTATTTCACATTGTTCACTTTACCCATTCAAATACAAATTTTAATAAAACAGGGGAATATGTAAAGGTTCCGAACTGTACACTATTTAGGAAGGGGGCCTCCGTGGCCGAGTGGTTAAAGTCGTTGACTTGAGATCACAGGTCCCTCACCACTGTAGGTTCGATCCTCACTCGGGTCGAAATCTTTCATGTGAGGAAGCCATCCAGCTGGCTTACGGAAGGTCGGTGGTTCTACCCAGGTGCCCGCTCGTGCCTGAAATAATGCCCGGAGGGGCACCTGGGGTCTTCCTCCACCAATAAAGCTGGAAACAAATCGACGAAAAATCTCGGCGGGACGCTCTAGGATGACCCGACTTGAGTGTACGGTCGCCCATATGGGCTTTCCGGCGGCGACCTTAAATAAACGCATCAAAAAAACAAAACAAAAAACACACTATTTAGGGATATGTTGTGTGAACAGCGTAATAGTTCCGTCGGTTGAGCCGTAAAATGGTAATCGAAGGGTCCCCGGTTCAAGTCCCGGTAAGGCAGCACATTTTCTTTTTAATTTGTGACAGTAACATAACAAGTAAGGTACTAGGCATTTAATGTTGCTTAGTAATAACATAGCATATTTAGACATATAAAGTGCATATAATGCCAATAAATTTCAATTTCAACTGCTATGAAATGTATTTGCTGATGTACCGCTATTTGATAAATTCATATACTTTACAGTTTACACATGATTCACAAAATCTTGGAGTCCCACATTTGTCCCCACCTGCCACTAATGGAGGTGCATGAGGTTGACAGGTTTCCTCATTTTCCTATTTTTTTTTCTCACTTACAGTTTCCGGTCCAAAATGAAAGTTTATTCTTAATATAATACTCTTATTAATTAAACTTCATATGACTATGTGGGCACATCACCGTAGGAATTGTACAGGAAGGCCGTAGGCTATTTCTTTCGCACCAAAACGAAAGTCCAGGTTATAAACGTCCAGGAGGTGTAAAGTCCTCAAATCGTAACATATAGATTAAGCAATGGTTTTCGAAATATGTTGGGCAGCCGGCCTGCCTTGTATGTTTTCCTTTTGTGTAAACATATCATATTAATCAAGTTCGCTTACATGTAAATTACTTCATGATTTGATCGTTGAATTCCAGTTTCTACCATTCTTTTAACGCTGTTTTACTTCTGTTTTCGAATGAAGCGGTGTCGACGTAAAATTGTCTATCTAAGAGATTCCTGGGCTTAAGCATTTTTTTTTCAAAAATGCGCTTAAAGACGAACCGGTTAAATTATTTTTTCAATATATGCTCATGATAGCTTACATTTTAAAAAACATTTGCTGAGGCTGCACAATCAAAATAATTTTGTGCCAGGTTGAGTACATTACAGCTTTAACATAAACTCGTTAAATATCTTTTTATCAAATTGCTAAACGATTAACATGTAGCTAAAATTAAAAGAAAACTTATCTGACATAAAGATATTTTATTAAACCTTTAGAAACGCTTTTATTTCGCGCGCGTTTTAGCGTGAGTATATCGTTTAGTTATTTCGTTTAGCGTATATCGTTTTGCATGGGTCTGCGTATTCGTTTTGTAAAGAGTGTGTGTAAGGTACGTTCGTATAGCGTTTTTTTCCAGAGCATGCGTTTTTTGCGTAAACTAAAACGTTCACCCTACTGAATATAAGACATATTTAAAAGATGATACATTGTGTATCTTTATAAATTCATCAAGACATAAAATACAATTATATGTCTTGCATAAATATGGCTGTCAAATATTTGTACTGTTATTCTGATCATAAACACGTGTATAATGTTGGCGCAGTTACGATATTTATATTATTTTCATCAACATTAGTTTCATCATCATTAGCAGCGGCAACAGCATTATCAACATCAACATCATTACAAGTTTACAGAGAAGAGATAGTCGGACATTAACAGATAACATAAAATGAAAAGCGTGTATAACGAATATATGATGTAAAAACAAGCTATTTCGAATTAATCTTACCGGATGTCAGAGGGCAAATGTGGTCATTCTTTACTTTCATTTTGCAACCTTTTGTACATTTGCCGTCGTCTTGCTTACACAGTTTATCGCTGCAATAAACAGAACATTTCTCAGAACACTGTAAACCGTGGAAACCATCTTCGCATCCATATAGACACTTTCCATTACTTTGCTGACATAAACTTCCGCATGTTGTTTGTCTCTTGCATGTAGAGGCACATGGAAAATTGCAACTATCACCATAAAAGTTACCTTTGCAACCGTCACAAAGACCGGTTTCGATATGACAGGACTTTTGACAGTTCTGAGGACAATGTTTATCACATTGGTAATTGAAGTAACCAGGCGTACATTGTTTACATCTAGTATCTGATAAACATGTGATACAGTTGTTATTATTTATACAACATCTGTCACCTGAATAATTGTCTAAACAGCCATCCGAGCATGTGCCTGTATTTCCATCACATACACCGTTCAAACAATTAATCGGACATCTTTCAGAGCAAAGTGAACCATAAAAACCAGGACGACATCTATCACATTTCTCTCCATCAAAGTTGACACGACAGCTTATACAATTACCAGAGTCTTTTAAGCAGCCTTTCTCGTCACAGTTAATTGGACAGTCACGTTGGCATGTATCTCCATATTTGTCAAGTATGCACTGATAGCATTGTCCTCCTACAAAATTATCAAGACATCCATTTGAGCATTCCCCATTACTTTTCTCGCATTGCTTATTTTTACAGCCGACAGGACAAGACATGTTACAGTATTGCCCATACCAGCCTGTTAAACAGACGTCACATTTATCCCCAACGATCGTGTCTATACTACATCTGTCTGTACAATCTCCGGTATCTTTTTCACACACGCTACCTTTACACCCTGCAGGACATTGTTGCTCGCAGATACGTCCATATTTCCCTGTTTTGCATTTATCACATCTTACTCCAGTAAAATTAGAGGAACAAGCACAGTTACCAGTCATTATATCGCAAGTGTTTGATATACAACCAACCGAACAACTGTTGTCGCATGCCAATCCATAAAGACCACTTTTACAAAGCGAGCAACTGTCATAAGACGAACAACGTACACAGTTATCTTGGCATTTGTATGTACAGTCGTTCAATAAAGGGAGGTTAATGTTGTCATTATTGTAACCTTTATAATAACCCTCCTTACACGGTCCACAATCAGTAATCGACGTACACGTGACACAGTTACCAGGACATGAACTATTACATATGTTACTGGTATCGTAATATCCGTCCTTGCATGTAACACACTGACCATTATCACAATTACAATGTTCAGGACAGTAACGATAACGACAATCATTGTAACCATTGTCGTTATAATATTCCTCCTTGCATAATGTACACGTGGTTCCTGACCTGCATGATTTACATCCGGGTGAACACTTTGATGTGCAGTCTCTAGCAGGGCCGGGAAAATAGCCATCATAGCACGATGTACACGTATCTTCATGATCAGGGCATTCTGTACAATTGTGTGTACATGGTATGGTGCATCGAGCACCTCTATATCCATCAATACAGCCTATGGTACATTCGTTTGAAAAGTATTTCCCTGGTCCACAGTGTCTATTTATACAGCATGCACAATATTCTGTACACTTTTCATCAATCTCTATAATGTGAAAGAAAAACAAAATTTCAGTAAAACTTCCAAAACCTTTTTGTGCTTAATGTATGTTTGATTTTTTTTATTTTAACTTTAATTATGTATACGTTTTCAATTAACACAGATTAATATCACATTACTATTTGCAATAAAGACTGATGTAAATTTAGTTACCTCCTTCTACCTGGTTGTTGCTAGCAATTAAGCATATAAACCATACAAACAATATCTGAAATATATATTATACAAATTTACAAATAATACATGTACCCAATAAAACCATACATATTCAAAATTAATAACGGTATAATTTGAATTGAAACAAGTGTGATTTTGTCACAATATTTTAAACATTTACTAAATTTAGATAGGTTCTGTAAATGCTTTAACATTGAAAGTTTGAAGCTAACTATATTGAACTATATTTGAACCCTCATCAATGCGAACAACATTTAATAATAAAATAGTAAATAGCTTCAACCTTTTCTCATTATGACGTTAATAACATTGATTTTTTCAGTTAAAATAATATATAATGTGATACATTATTTAGAATCTTGAAGCATATTTAAACTTATCTCCAGTCCGCGGGTGTGAAAACATAATTATGACCTAAGTAATGTTTGTACCTACGACCCCTGGGTTGAGAAGCAGGTACCTTAACCAATTAGTAACCCTCTCACTTACGCTGTAGTTTAGATGTCTTCAACCTCGGTGTTTATCATTCTATTTTGCGAGTTAAGTATTTGTAATGAAAGGCTTATAAAGTAATGACAGAACTGTATAATGAAACTATAAAATTGTAATGAAACGTGTTTTTGTCAAAATTTCTAGAGTTTTGATAGCAATATCGTAACTACAAATGAATAAATAATTTGAAGAACAAGAACTGTCGGAGGACAGTAAGGCTAGACTATTCTAAAAAGTTGTCATAAAGTTGTTTTATTGAGTATAATAATGCTTACCTATGAATACATAAAATTGACTGAAAAGGTACAAAAGCGTTATTAAGATGTTTTATCAAGTAAATTACTGCTTAATTATCATGAATGTATAGAATTGTCCCTAAAAAGGCACAAACGCTTCAGTAGTTATGGAGACAACAGTTTTGAAGCAAAACTTTACCATAAATTTCTAAGTTGAAAAAGGGGAGAAAAAACAGCCTAAATGCAAGATAGAAATATGGATCTTGGTCAGTGACCTACAATGATGACCCTAAATGCATATGTGAAGTTTTAAATAAATAACTTTAATAGTTATTGAGATATGTAAAACTTGCATGTAAACATTAACCAAGAGACTAAGTAGAAAAAGGGAGACAAATCAGCCTAAATGCAAGATAGAGTTATGGAACTTAGTCAGTGACATACAATTATGACTATTCATGCATATGTGAAGTTTCAAATCAAAATCTCTGATACTTATTGAGATATGTAAAACTTACATGTAAATATTAACCAAGAAGCTAAGTAAAAAGGGGGAGTTAAATCAGCCTAAATACATGACACAGGTATAAGTGGTATTCATTGATCATTATTTATGACCAAATATATATATATGAAGTTTCAAGTTTGTATCTTAATAGTTTCAGAGGTATGCAAAACTTGCATGCTAAACTTAACCAAGAAAAAAAGATATTTTTAAATGCATGGCACGGTAATGAATCTTGAGATGTTACCTTCAATTATGATCCTTAGTACATGTGTAAAGTTTCAAGTAAAAAACTTATAAGACCTTTAACCAAAATTCTAAGTTTTAAAGGGGCCAATTATTTTGCAAACATTGCAAGCAGAGTTATGCAACTTTGCAAACTGATGTACATTGTTACTATAAAAAAGTATTGTAAATTTCAATTGAATATCTCAAGCAATAACTGAGATATTTTACTTTACAAAAAACTTTTACCAAACTTTCTTAGTTAAAAAAGGGAAAAATTCTGTAAACATTGTAGGCAGAGTTATCCAACTTGTCAATCTGATGTACATTGTTACTATTAATAAGTATTGTAAGTTTCAATTGAATATCTGAAGCAAAAACTAATATATTTGACTTTACAAAAAGCTTTAACCAAAATTTCTAAGTGAAAAATGGGCATTTTTCTGTACATATTGTAGGCAGAATTAACCAACCTGTCAATCTGATGTACATTGTTACTTTAAATAAGTATTGTAAGTTTCAATTGAATATCTCAAGCAAAATTTGAGATAATTGACTTTACAAAAAGCTTTAACCAAAATTTCTAAGTGAAAAAGGGGCATATTTCTGTAATATTGTAGGCAGAGTTAACCAACTTGTCAATGTGATGTACATTTTTACTTTAAATAAGTATTGTAAGTTTCAATTGAATATCTCATGCAATAATTGAGATATTTGACTTTAGATAAAACTTTAACAAAAGCCGACGCGGACGCCGAGGCCGGGGCGACTACAATAGCTATCATAGTCTTCGAAAAGTCGAGCTAAAAATAATTAAAAATTGTACATCATCAATTTGATTTAATGAAATGGAAACAAAAATTCCGATCAAGGATAATATGTAAGATAGAATATTGAATAAATAAAGGCATATTAACAAAATAATTTTTTTTTTTGATTTTATGAACTCTAAATGTGAAGGGATAACATGTAGGTACGTCGAAGCTAAAAATAATTAAAATTTGTACATCATCAATTTTAATCAATGAAATGGAAACAAAACTTCCGATCAAGGATAATATGTAAGATAGAATATTGAATAAATAAAGGCATATTAATAAAATAATTAAATTTTTTTGATTTTATGAACTCTAAATGTGAAGGAATAACATGTAGGTACGTCGAATATAAACCAAAGGATAGGCGATGTTATACAATGTACATTTCCAAAGGAATTTCCTCGGGAAATTTTATTCGGTGACATTGTAAATAAAATGACAGCATGAAGCATCCAATTAAGAAAAAAAATATATGCCTCCGGGATCATTAATTGCAATAATTATGTTTATAGTAACTACATTACAAAAATGTAAAATCAATTTTTTTCTGACTTTAGCTGACATGTTTAAGACCTAAAAATATCATCATTTGAATGTTTATACACATCTGCGGATGATTCTAAGTTCAAAATTATGCCATTACATGTTTAAATGTTGAATACAGCTTAAGCCGGTGCTTGCGGGCATCGAACAGTGTCTTGCACTGTCCAGTACTGTTCATCAACAGGCTCAATCAAACCAAGCCTGCAACATTTTTCAATTTTTCAATTTTACGGTTTTGAACTTTTTTTAAGAATTTTTTTCTCTCTAATTTATTCGTTACACAGCCTATCTCTTCTTCATTTATTTTAGACAGTATACTTCTTACAGACCTTCCTTGATAAACGTCAGCAATACTTTGATTTGAAATTCTTTCTCTAAACAAAATCTTTGAACATTTTCCCATGTCATGATAACTCTCTCAAAAAAAATATTTTCATATAAAATCAGCAAATAATGTAACATATTTCACTATTTGCATGGCTAAAATATGTAACTACATCTAGTTAAATATTGAGAGACTTTAAATAAGTTTACAGTTCAATACACAATTCAGGGCATTGTATGCTGTATAATTCTCTTAGAAATGTCACTCCATGATAAAAACGGGGTGGTGAAATGTCATCTTTTCTGAAGTTTTCCCTTGAGTTACTTCTTGTAATAGAGAATTACTTTTAACTGTGTCGTTACTGCTATGCATATAACGTTCATGTCTTCGCATGTTGTCAAGCCTAGAGAACACCTGATTACATACAGAACACTTATTCATTTTAGTAGCAAGATTTATAAAAGCCGAAGAAATCTGCCTTCTTACAAGTTTATTTAACGATTCTTACGTTTGCAGATACAGGAAAAAAATTCCTTTCCTTCTCCTCCGCCACCACCTCCTCCTCCTCCTCCCCTCCTTCTCTCCTCCTCCTCCTCCTCCTCCTCCTCCTCCTCCTCCTCTTCCTCCTACACCTCCTACCCCTCCTGCTTCTTCTTTTCCTCCTCCACCTTCTTCACCTTCTCCCCTCCTCCTCCTCCTCCTCCTCCTCCTCCTCCTCCTCCACCTCCTCCTCCCTCCTCCTCCTCCTCACTTGTTTTATGTATTTTTACACATTGCAAGGAACGGTTGTCCAACCTGCTTTCGAGTCAATCAGAATACTGTCTTATCAGTGACCAATCCGAACGCTTCTTTTACTCCATTTATTACGATTAACCGTAGCGATTCATTCATTGCCGATTTAGATAGCGAGGAGTAAAGGTTGGGGGTAAGCTTATTTTAGTTATTTTAATAATTTTTACGCATGATTGGTTTCACTTGCGGTTTGTTAGTTTCAGCTTGTCGCATTTGTCAAGACCTTTCGTTTGATATGCAACATACCCATGTTATGTCCAGAAATAAGCGGAGAATTGTCATTTAACGCATGAGTAATTTTGACTTCCAGTATGAACTTTACTATCAACAGCGTCTGAAAGTACTCTTGAATACCTTTAATTTGATACCAAAATGGATAAAATCGACCCATAAATAAGGACGCCACACTCATTTGAATATTTTCAAACAATTTAGTGCAATAACGCTTTATCTTACATCAGTAACTCATAATGATAGACCCATAAACCTATACATTTTCTGAATCTACTCGTCGAGATCTTTTTAACGGTATATAAATTGAAGGGCTTTGTAAACTTTAAAAATTTGGGTTTAAAAATCGCTGTTACGTAATAACTCTGTAACAGTTGAAAATCGAATCGATAATGTGGGGTGTAAATTAAAGGTATTGAACTGTTCTTTCAATTGGTAGTCAACAATTAAAAATCATATCGTATTTGGTTGCACTAGTAACCAAAATATATATTTTTCACGCATGAGTGATTTCACATCCGGTTTGATCGCGTGACTAAAATGTACTCGTCAAGACCTTCAATTTGATACCAAACATAACTATGTTTCGTTCATAAACGAAAAAGTTATGCGCGTGTTTCCGCATGAGTGATTTTGTCTGCCATATTGAAACTCTCCTATCTCAGAAACAGTAAAAGATAGATCCATATAATAATACATTTTCTGTATCTACTCGCAGAGATCTTTCAAACGGCATATAAATCTAAGGGTTTTATGAACTTTAAAAAAATGGTTTAAAAACCTCGTTCTTCAATTTCATTGGCTAATCAAAAATAGCAATACCGGTTTAAACCTGTCGTAACTGGACCGTTTAACGATAGGCTA